TCATTCACTTAACTCGAATTGTACCATGCCATAGAGAAGTCTGATACTCGAGGAAATCGTTTGTTCTTTGGATGATCAACTGAGGTCTTATGTAGGTGAGCCATGTCTTTTCTTTTTTTTTTCTTTTTTCTTTTTTTTTTTTGCGTATACACAGTCTGCCAGACGATGAGCATTGCGTGTCGGGTCGTAGCACTGTGCCTGAATACCGAAGGAGAAGGGACATAGTGAGGGAAGAGGAAGAGAAACATAGAGTATATACGGGCTGGATTCCAAATAGCCGTGGGAAGTACCGTGGGCCCGATGCCTCGGGAATACTAAATACTTCGTGCTCATTGCACACAAGTCCACGATTCGCATTAATACTGTCACATACATATTATACACACGTAACGTTCCACCTTGTTCGACCGTTAATATCGTTCAAATGGACTCGATTGGAGCCAACAATCTACATCGTGATTTTATCTAACATGGTTTCCTTTCGCTAAGATTATTTTTCGTTTCACGAACAAACTTCGAATTCTTTTTTAGCGCCAATCGCCTACAGACTTTTAGAATTAATTTACATCTACCAACGATGAATTAATTTAAGATGCTAGGAAACATTTTACGGGCGTGAACTCTTCGGAAGATGGTATACGTACCTACATATAAGGTAGCGATTTACACGATCGGCTAAGAGAAGCAAGGCGTTAAAACTCGGCCCGGCTCGTTCGCACGTTCGTTATGTATACTTGTGTGATATCGTGGGGCAACCGAGGCGTGCACTCGCGTCTTCCGTGTACGTTTACCTCGTGTTGTCAAACGAGAGGGCAAGAATACCACGTTAGAAGAGGAATAGGAAAAGGTAGTGAGAAAGAGAGAAAGAGAGAGAAAGAGTGAGAAAGAGAGAGAGAGAGAGAGAGAGAGAGAGAGAGAGAGAGAGAGGGGAGCAGAGTGCCGAGATCACTCGTGTTCACCGAAATTTATGGGGTTCGCTCGAACGGCACTGCTGCAGCTTGGCCGTTCGAATTTGCATAGAGTCGAGCGCTAATAGTTGAAGATAACTCGACTAGTAAGAGAGAAAGAGAGAGAAAGACAGAGAGAGAGAGAGAGAGCGAGAAAAAGATAGATAGAGAGAATCCGTGCGCACTTCCGCCAAAGAGAAGCAAGAAGAGGAAGAAAATGAAGAGAAAGAGGAGGAGAGAGGAGGTATATGACGACAGCGACGACGACGCCTCCGTGGTCGTCTATGCCACACCGAGCTTACTATCTGTTACTAGTATAGAACTATAGGGTCCCTGGAGGGTGCTGCCGGTACAGGGCTCGGCTTGCGGTTATTGGATTCTACCGAGGATCTAGCCTCCTTGTGTTATGTGCCAACATATAGAGAGAAGCCAAGTGTTATTGTTCCTTGCATCCTTGACGCGAGCTTCCTCTTCCAATGGCACCTACTACCTAAGGAAGTCGAGAGAGGTGTGCAAAGAAAAAAAGAAAATAGAAAGAGAGCAAAGACATAAGAGGTGGAAGTATATTAAATATACACCACGAAAAGCAGCCTCGATAAAAGGATATTCAAGAACGTTTGAGATACACTTGGAAAAAGAGTATACATATACGTCGATAAAAGCACATTGAAGAACTTTTCTCTTAGGTCCTACGCATTATTTTATATTTTTCTTTCTCTCTCTCTCTCTCTTTCTATCTCTCTATCTATCTATCTCTCTCTCTCTCTCTCTCTGTCTGTTTCTATTCCTTAAAGTAATCGAAATACCTACTCAGAGTTTATTAAGAATGTAAAAGCAAAATGAAAGAGATTTCGTTTCGTTGAATGGCCTGTCGGTGTAACAAGTAGTTCCGCGTTCTATGGATTTTTATGAGAGCCACTCGAAACTTTAAATACCATCGGTAGTCAATAGATTCGTGCACTCAAGAAAGAGAAAGAGAAAGAGAGAGAGAGAGAGAGAGAGAGAGAGAGAAAGAGAGAAACAGATAGTGAGGCCGAGCAACCGTTAGTTCGACACCAGGCATAACTCTCAACGCTTCATAATTTAAATACGAATCGTCGTCGGTAGACCGAATAATCCTTGTTGAGTCGCACTAAGAAGCAAAGAAAGTTGCGTCACGTAGCATCGGTAGTCGAAGGGAGCGTTGTCTCACGTATCGATGATCACTCCCGCTTCTTCGTTCTCTGTTCTTTCATTGGGAACAAGATAGAAAGAGAAAGAAAGAAAGAGAAAGAGAAAGAGAGAGAGAGAGAGAGAGAGAGAGAGAAAGATAAAGAGAGAGAGAGAGAGAAGCAGGTGCGTAAAAGTCGTGTAGTCATGCTAGCAAGAAGCCTTTCAACGAATCCGAAGGAGTAAATGCCGAAGACGCGTAGTCATGGTAGAGGCATGGCTTACCGGCACTCGCCAAGAAATGCCCGGTAGTCATCGCCTTCGTCATACCTAACTACCTGCACTTCTCTCTCTCTCTCTCTCTCTCTGTCTGTCTGTCTGGCTGTCTATCTATCTCTCTCTTTGTTTCTTTCTATCTATCTATCTTATCATCTTCTTCTTCTATTTCTTCCACGCTGACGCTCTAGCGACTACCGACAGCGATGATCGCTTCTGATCGAGTCGCATCTCGTCCCTGCGATCTACAATATAATTTTAACGCATCGAACGGTCCATTCTCCATCTTCTTTCACAATATTTTTTCTCCTTTTTATTCGAATCTCTCAATCCATCTCATAGAATAAAATATTACATATAAGCCATCGACCTCTCTCTCTATCTCTCTCTCTCTCTCTCTCTTTTCGTACATACGTTAAGCGTTTCTATCTTGGATATTGAATTGTTACTGGACCAGTCGAGTTTACGGTCAGCGTAATATATGCAGTTAGTTACCGCAAAAGCGTCAAAAGTAATTACGTTATTGGATCATTCTCCTCTTTCATGCAGCAATTCGCATGTTCGTTGACTATGCTCGAACGAGTTCACATCAACGTCGCCATCGTCGTCGTCGTTATTGTCTCCGTATGTATTCATCGAGTTTGCATGTTACATTTCACTAACGCTTTTGACCGTTCTTCTCATCTTCGTCCATAACTTGTGCGAGGTTTTGTGTGTTAAATTCTTCCCACTGTCGTGCATACACGTAATTTAGAAACATGCCAACACGTAGGAAAAAAAAATGAGATAGCGTTGTATATCGTTTTAAAACTTTTACGTTTGATTTGATATGAACTTTGTCTTTCTTTCTCTCTCTCTCTCTCTCTCTCTCTCTATCCATCTATACATCTATCTATCAATCTATCTCTCCCTCTTTTTTTTCTTTTCTTTTGTTTGTAAAAAGATCGATTGGTGGAGTAACGTTTACAATAGAAATTAATCTTGCTGCACGAATTTTCGTGCATTATTTTTTTTTATTATTTATTCTTTTTTCTCTCTGCCTCTCTCTTTCTCTCTCTCTCTCTCTCTCTCTCTCTCTCTCTCTCTCTTTATCTTTCCCTCCCTCTCGTTGTTATTTTTCGTTATTATATAAGTATTTCGTATTTGAACGATAAAAGGGTAAACGTAGTAAGCAAACATTCGTCGATTTTCTTCGTGAACTGTAAATAGAGCTACGTTCATCGTGACGTTCGAAGATACTCCTACGTTCAGTTCACGAAAGTAAAATACCTAGAAGAGACTTAGACATACCACACGGTAAAGCAAACTGTTGGAGAAAATGCAGAAATTCCTAAGACAAGCGATCGATCTTAAAAACGTAAAAGGAATACATTCGATCTCGGGAATCGTATCACTTTCTTCCGCAATGTAGAATATTCTCTGTTTGGTGCAAAGGGACAGATTGAAAATATTGATATGTATTCAAAAGTGTGCTTCTTTTTCTTCGGTTCATATGTTAAAATCAACTTATTCGTAATGTTGGTTCACCGAACGAAATCGAGTCGTGGAAAAGAAAGGGAAAACGTAATATTTTTGATAGAAAGAACAATCTATGTACGAAAATCTTATTTCAGAATTCTCTTTCTCCATTTCGAAAACTTTCTTGTCGTAATAACGAATGAACGCACGAGTGAACGAAGAAATGAACTTCCGCAGAAAACGCGTCTGCGGTAATTGTGGATAACGGTTACAGGCGAAAAACACGAAACTCACTGAGGTAAACCAATCTCACCGGCTTGGTCTCTTGGTCCATCTTTCGTTCGTTTGCATTTAACTGGTTGAGATGGTTACGTTGTGCGTTACATGTAAAATTGTGAAATTGATCGAGTCGATGATTACTCGATGCGTGAAGGATCAAGGTCACTGAAGTTATACGAAGAAGGAATGAATAGCGGGAGGAGGAGGGCAGGAGGAAGAAGAGAAGAAAAAGAGAAGGAGAAAGAGAAAAAGGAAGAGAAAGAGAGAGAGAGGCACGTGTACGATAATCAGTAAATTACATTTCATGCCGATCGAAATAAACGTTTTACGCTTTCTAATTGACTTCCACACAGAGTTCGCCAAGAAGGAAAATTTGTGTTCTCCTCTATACGTACGTAGAAACATAAATACGTATGTATATAATATTCCCGTTCTACCGAGCTATTCTCGAGAGAAGAACGAGCACGATTCGTAGAATCGAGTCCGTATCTCTCGAGAGAACGAAGAAGAGAAGGTCGCATAATTCTATCGGATCCTTCGATAAAATCCTCTCAGTCGGATACGAAATAGTTAGTATCCAAGCGGCGCTTTCATTATCTCGTAATACCAGCACATTATAACAGTAAGTGCTACCTGTCTTGCGCGCCTAAGTCCCCAGGAAGCGAGCATTGATTACGGTAATGCAAACTACCCCGAGTCCACGTATAACAAGTAACGTCTTCCTACAATTTAGCGTCGCGAGAAAGAGCTTCTAAAAGAGCGACAGGGCGACGACTCGTGCCGGAAGTCGAAGACTCGAACGATCCTTTGCATCCTTCAGATCGTCTATTCGTTTATTCTCTCCCCGTCCTTTTTTCTCTTTTTAATCGTGACCCCGTCATTCTGTTTCAGGTGCTCTATCGCAATCGCAATTCCCAGTGTTCACGATCTACGCTCAGAAGAGTTGTCTTGCTGTGAAGCCGTGCGAACGCGCTTGGTGCATCGACAGAGTACAGGGCCATCGTCTTCAGGGTCACGCGCGCAGGACTATGAACGCGTCCTCGCGACAACATTGTCTGGAACTCTGCCTAGGCGAAAGAGACTTCTTATGTCGGTGAGCGAAAAAACCTTTTTCTATTCGACTATATCGGGTCAACCAATCTTTCTCTCTCTCTCTCTCTCTCTCTCTTTCTCTCTCTTTCTCTTTCTCTCTCTTTCTCTCTCTTTCTCTCTCTCGTTTTCTGTCGATCTTTTCTTTACTACTCGCGATATAAGAGATGAGAACGAAAGGAAGAAGAGCTTTTCGAAGAGATCGATCTCCTCGAAAATCGAACCTGCACGTACATAGATACATACGCTCCGTCGCCTTTTCCAGTTATTGGATTCCTTCGGCCGAGGGTAGAAGAAAGATCTTACGTCACGCTTCTACGAGTTTTCGACAGTGTCCTTTTCTTTTACACTCTTTCCTTTTCTTACTTTGGCAGAGACCATAACGATACTGTCCACCTTTTCGACGTTTTACGCGATAGGAAAAGAACGAGAGGATTCTCGCGGGACGAATCCAATTCCTTTTTTACTTAATAAAATCCATTCCTTTTTTTACTTAATAAAATGAAAAGTGAAATTTTACATCGTCCATTTGTAAACTCGTCCGAGAAACTCATGTTTTAAAGATATACTTCGGTAGATCACCTAGCAAAGTTTATTTGAAGTAGCATTTAACAGCGCATAACCAGACGCAATAACGTCTATCAGGATTCTCTTATTAGTCTCGGAACGAGTCAGCAGGCGTACGCTCTTGATGGATAAAGACAGAAAAGGGCGCTAGCTCGCTCACTCCGCCGTTTATGCGATTACATCTCAACGGCAGTACGAGTGTAATTACGCAAGGCGTAGTATGCTTTCATAGTAGGATGAAGGGCAACGTGTGCCTGTAAGAGGGGTAAAAGGTTTTAAGACTATGCGAACGGTGCGTCGTACTTTACGACGTCGATTGCATCTACCGATTTAATTGCTCTCTTTCATAAACCGTACCGACTGTAAGCGGCTCGCATGCTCGGTCCATCTCGTCTATATTTATTCCCACTTCGTCTTTTTCCTTTTCAATTGCAGTGCGAAAAACATTTACGATGATGTACGCGATGAAAGGTGAAGGAAAACGAGAAAAGGAAAGGTCGATATAACGCCTCAACGAAGGAACGTAACGTAAATGATGGATCATTTTCCATTCGTACGAAAATACATTCGAAAATCTATGCGTCTAATGCGTTTAAGGAGCGTGAGAAAGAGTGACGTATTACATGTTTCGTGAACGACGAGATTTTCCGATAAAGAGGACTTACTCGCGTGCAAAATTTTAAAAGTTTCATTCGTTTGGTACACATCATTGTGTCTCCCGTTCTTCCTTTTTCTCTTCTTTTTTATTTTATTTCTCTGTTACTTTTTTTTTCCCTTTGACACGTGATACGAAAGAATATCGTCCGGTCTCGACATTTTAGTTTTTTTTCGTCATTCGCGCTTCTTCAAAGCTAAATACACATCGACGATACAAAGAAGGAGAGAAAGAGAGAAAGAGAGAGAATTTTTTATTTCTTTTTTCATTCTCTCTTTCATCTCGGTCGTTCATTGTCGCGCATGAAGTATTTCGAGCACGTGTTCCATTTACCAGTTGGAAGATATAGAATCATTCTTTATCATGGAGTCTCGCCACTTGATCATTTTCTCTATCTTATTTCGTCCCGTCGTCGAGTCTTTTGATTTTTTTTTTTCGTCGTCGAGTCTTTTGATTTTTTTTTCTTTTTCTTTTTTTTTTTTTTTTTTCGTCGCCGATCGATCGTTACAGACGTCTCACGAGGCTACCTCTCTCGAATAATTTCATTTGTCGGAAGAAAGACGAGCTAGTGGTAAAGTGGTAGCTCGAATCATCCTCTCGATTGGGAAATCGTGTCAAACAAATTCCGAAGCCGCGAGGATAAGTCCATGCGTCGAAGATACGTTTGATGCGGTACGACGACACGTAATTTATTCTCTGCAAAGCCATTAGCGGCACGAAGAGAAAGAGAAGGAGAAGTAGGAAGGAGAAGACGAAGACGAAGAAGAAAAAGAAGAAAAAGAAGAAGGAGATGCATTCGATGCTCTTTTCATTGCGCAAGCACGCGGAAGAGGACGCCGAGAAGCATCGCGTCTTCCGATTTCGATGGAGTTCGTGTTTGCGTGGTATCACGCCGACGCGTCAAGCTCTCTCTTTCTCTGTCGGGTGCACGTGCACACCTTGAAAGCCTTCCAAAGCGTAAGGTCTATGGCAACGAATCTCGCTGCTGTACATTGACTCTGACCCTAGGCTGGAAAGGGTCGAGAGTTCCTTGCCCACGCAGAACCGTCTAAGAACTACCATATTTATAAGGCTCGATCGCGACATGGACGAAAGTTACATGATCGAGAAAAAGCGAGAACTAACTCCTTTTAAGCGATTCTCTCGTTCTATTCGATTTTAAAAGGAAGAAATTTTAATCAAGTTGTTGTGGACAAGTTAGTTCATTATACGAGAGGAAAAAAATTTAAAAAAAAAAAAGAGATGAGAGAACCTAGTGAGAAACGGAATGAGGCTCTCTTTAAACAACGAGAGAGAAAAAAGGAGGAAGACGCTCGTTGATTTAACGCAGACTTTTCGCATACGACCCGAGAAAATCTTCCGTGTTCTAGTTGGGAATAATCAACATGGAAGTCGTTGACACGATGGTATTACGCAAGAATAATACATATGAGCGCGTGCATCTCCGCTCGCGTTCTGTTGACCGAACAAAGAGAATTTGTGAAGGGAAGACACGCAGGACCGCGTATTAAGATATTTCATGGGAATGATTTTTTGAAATCTACTATTAGAAATTTCCTGCTAGTACCGAAATCATCGTTATATTTTCAGAAAACCGTCGTATGATCTTTTAAATTCAACGAGGACTTGCAATTATGTTGATTTCACTTTAAAACATAGCAAATAACTCTACGGTGTCCTGTTTTCTTTCGATCTTTCGTTGATCACAGTCCTTGTAGAATTAAAATAAATAAATAGAGAGAGAGAGAGAGAGACCAAAGAGTTCAAATTCAATAGGATTTATCTTCGAACTCATCCATTTATTAGAGGCGAATACGAAGACTTGGTGTGTGAAGGAGGTCGCCCATCGCATCGGGTCGACGAACGTAGAGTTATACGGAAGGAGAAGAAGAAGAAGAAGAATAAGGGGATAAGAGAAAGAAAAAAAAGAGAGAGAGAGAGAGAGAGAGAGAGAGAGAAAGGTGCGAGAAGGAAGAACAAATGCGCTTACGATCGTCCGGTCGAAGCGATCGATCAAATGGCGAATACTCTTCTCTCGTCTATGGTTCGTACGAGCCGAGCCCTCGAACTCTTGCCTTCTATTCTATACTCCTCCACCTTTTCCACCTATGCCACGAGCTCGGAATGAAACAGAGAGAGATACATTATTATCGGCGACGCGCGCCTCCTATCGGGCTTCCTTGTTAACGGGTAATGAGTTTATTGTTTAAGAATCACGTGGAGGTTACATGTGCTGCAATCAATTACAATAATGTAATGTAATCGTCGCAAGGTCCCGCGGCGCGCACCCGGTATAATGAGGTTTCTGCTCTAATGAGAGGGTTGTCTACAGTACGAAGAGAGCACCGTTTGCGCTCCTCCTACCGCCTGTAGAGGTATACGTTCACGAACATACTTTCACAGAGGATGAGAGAAAGAGAGGAGAAACTTGTGCGTCCTTAGAAACACACAGAGGACTTAGACTTGTCTACGTATTCGTAATCCACGTGCACGTGTTCGTTGTATACACCATTCCGTAACTATGCGAGAGATCAAAGGAGAGAATCTGTGAGTTGAAACGCCGTCGTAAAGAGCGTATAAACGCACCGGGGATGCTGAAAAAAAAAAATCGATCGACGTAAAAGAGAAAAAAAAAGAAAAAGGAAAAAAAAATGATGGGAAAAGAGAAGAAAGAAAAAAGAAAAAGGAAAAGAGATAAGAAGAGGGAGGCAAGGTAAAAATTGAAGAGCAGAGAAATGAAGTCGAGAAGTTCGATGAGTTTTGAGAAAGTGCCAGGAGGATGGAACGAGAAAAGAAGTTGAAAGAATTGGAAGCGATGGAATATTAAAATCAGTTCGATCGTTTCATCGCATTGTAAAATGCTAATGAACCTTCTGTTTTGAGTCACGGTTTAAGATATTCCTAAGGGAAACCTTGAGAATCAATAGCAGGATGGTACAGACACACACACACACACACACACACATACACATATAAATATATATGTATACATTAAGCCGTTCGGCCCAAAATTCTCTATATCGGTAAGAGAGTGGTGGGAGCGCGGGGGGGGGGGGGGGGGGGGGGGGAATGCACATCACCTTAGAAGAAGTTCGAAAGCAACTCAACGTAATTCTTTGTGTCGTCGGATTCATCGAGACATACCAAATCCTTCAGCTCTCATTCATCCTTCTCTTGACATTTTAATTTTCCTATCCTCTGTCTCTCTTATTCTTGTATACATACATAAGGATGCATCCTCGAAACGCGAATACCACGAAGGACCATTAATACGGTCCCAACTCCGATACTTCTTTTGTACCCGTTGCAATCGAGTTCCTTGGAACACATTGCGGCAGCAATGAAAGTCGCTTGGCAAGCGCAAAAGTCGAAGCCTCCGAACAAGCACTTACGTACCATGACTAGGGAAAAGTGACATACGAAGCTGCGATGTTGGCGAACTTGCAGTCAAAAAAAAAAAAAAAGAAAAAATCAACATTTTCAGACGGAACGATGTGAAGAGTGCTAGACGTTGAAGAAAGCAAAGTACCATGGGCCTTTATTCGAGTTTTGCTTTACCTTCGTATATCTACGTCTCGTTGCAGGACGAAAATCTTCGCGAAAGAATGATTCCGAAGGTGCAGCCTATAACTGGACCCATTCCACTTGTACGTACATACATACCTGGCAAACTTTATATGACGCAATCAAAAAGATAGAGATATACACACACAAGCATACACGGCGGACATGCACACATATATATGAGTATAAACGAATCGCAATGCTCTTGACGAAACAAC